AGAGAGAGAGAGAGAGAGAGAGAGAGAGAGAGACTGGACCCCTGTATAGTGCAGAAGTCCCCTCATTCTTAACAGTCATGGAATATTCTATTTCAACACAATATTGATTACTCGGTGCTTATGGTGACCATCTACGCATAGATCACATTTTTCAAGCTATGGTATTTATAATACACTAGAAGTAATAGATGTCAACTCCACATTGTGTGCCAAACCCAATAAGCAAGCCCTGAGTGGCTAGGAATACAGGCAAGTGCCACTCTGCCCAGCTAATTTTTTTTTTCCAGACACGAGGTCTCACTATGTTGCCTAGGCTGGTCTCGAACTCCTGAGTCTAAGCAATCCTCCCCCTTGGCTTCCCAAAACACTGGGATTACAGGCGTGAGCCACCACGTCTGATCTCTATTTTTATTCCAAAGTTTTTGAGCTAAATGCTACTTAAACATATGTTTAACCTCTATGATACTGACTTGCTCGTGGAAAGAGGGAAGACCAGGCATCCTTGTCCACTCCTACAGACTGATGCAAGTGTCCAAGTGGAGATTCAACAGTGGCTCCTAGGGTCAATAAGCAGCGAACTCAGTTCCTTGACTGGATCCTGTGACTGTCCAGCAAAAATGCTTGCCTGAACTCTTTCAGAACTGAAGCAGCTCAGTAGAAGCCTGCCAGACTACACTCTTCATCAGATTGATCTATCCTCCCTGAATCCTCCAAGAACATTTCAGGAAAGGAAACCCAAAAAGCATACAAGACAAATTGCAGTTCTGCCTTGGAGTATCCTCAAAGCACTGTAGTGTCTGAAAACTATTATATAAGCAGCTTCTGGAGAAACAGTCTTTTAGGAAATGTAACACCAGCACTAACAATTCTTCAAGAGCTACTTACTGACATGAGAAGTCTTAGTGTGAGACAGAACCATCGCAGGAACCTAAGTGACCTGCCAGTGGGTGCCCTTGTGCCAACATCCATCTTGGCAGAGGAGACCTGGGGACGTGTGCAGCGTTTTGTTTGTTTGTTTGTTTGTTGGTTTGTTTGAGTTGGAGTCTCACTCCGTCACCCAGGTTGGAGTGCAATGGCATGCTCACGGCCACCGCAGCCTCGACCTTCCACCTCAGCCTTCCAAGTGACTGGAACTACAGGTATGTGCCACCACACCTGGCTAATTTTTTGTTTTATTGTAGAGACAAGGTCTCTCCAAGTTGGCCAGGTTTTTCTCAAAGCCCTGGACTCAGGCAATTCTCTCACCTCCACTTCCTAAAGTGCTGGGATTACAGGCGTGAGCCCCACACCCGGTCATGTACAGCATTTCCATTGAAAAATACTTCTCCTAGGGTGACTATAGTTAGCAACAATGTAGTGTATGTTTCCAAGTAACTAGAAGAGAGGAACTAAGATGTGACCAACCCATGGAAATGAGAAATACTTAAGGTGATGACCTTAAATACCCTGATTCAATCATTACACACTCTATGCATGCAGCAGTACTCACATGTAACTCATACATACGTAAGCTATTTTGTATTTTTTAAAAAAACACTTTGTCTAGTGTTTCCACCCAAACAGGAATAAATCCCAGACTCAGTGGACACATTTCATGGCTTTTTATTGAGACTCAGGAAGGGTTGGCCATGGTAACAGGTGCACTCACTGTCCTAGTTTGCTCAGACCCTCTGCTGCGTGAGTGACAGCATTTGTGACTGTGTTGGTCACTGTTTCAGAGACTTCCTTCGCCATCTTGTCCCCTGATTCTTGGACTTTCTTTAAGGCGTCAGCAACGGCTGTTGGAAAGAAGAGGAAGAATGTCTGGGTGAGCCACCACTATGATAGCATCCCCTCACGACAGGGTCCCCGGAGCAGACCAATGGGACTGAGGGCAGCAGGGCTCCTGGTGGAATGAATTCAAATTTGGGCTTAATTTCTCCAACAACTTGCATGTCTTCAATTATGAGTGAGCCTGATCTGGTCATGGGTGTATTGGCTACTTTTTTTGAAAACAGACACAGGGTCTCAGGGGCCTTGCTATGTTGCCCAGGCTGATCTTGAACTCCTGGCCTCAGGCGATCCTCCTGCCTTGGCCTCCCAAAGTGTTTGGGATTACAGGTGTAAGCTACCATGTCCAGCCATACTGGGTACTAATTCTTCATTTTTCTGGAAGCTGTCATCTTATGTCTTTTGGCCATTTTGATATTGGGTTACTATATTGGATTAACATTTTTATTAGAAACATTTTACATTAGTTTGTGATTTTTCTTTTGACTTGGTTTACAGTATTTTTTACCTCTAAAAAATTTTGAAGTTTTATATATCAAGTTGACCTATTTCCATTATGGCTGCTGGGTTTTCTATCAAAGTTCAAAAGATCTTCCCCACCCCAAGATTATGCTGTCTACTATGTTATTGTTCCAGTCTGAATGTTTATGTCTCCCACAAAATTCTTGTGTTGAAAACCTCACCCCTAGCCAGGCACAGTGGCTCACACCTGCAATCCCAGCATTTTGGGATGCTGAGGCGAGAGAATTGCCTGAGCCCAAGGATTTAAGGCCAGCCTGGACCACTTGGCAAGACCTCGTCTCTACAATAAATAAAAAAAAATTAGTCAGGTGGGGTGGTGTGCACCTGTGGTTCCAGTTACTTGGAAGGTTGAGGTGGAAGGATCACCTGAGCCCAGCCAGTCGATGCTGCAGTGGTCATAAGCATGCCACTGCACTCCAGCCTGAGTGACCAAGTGAGACTCTTACTCAAAAAGAAAAAAAAGCCGGGCTCGGTGGCTCAGCCTGTAATCCCGCGCCTTTGGGAGGCTGAGGTGAGTGGACTGCCTGAGCCCGAGGGTTCGAGACCCGCCT